AAGAATTAGAATGAAATTATAATTATCTGCTTTTCTTTAAAGTAAAGGTCACTTATCTAAAGTAAGGTTGTGTACCTGGAATGTGCCACTTTCCTTAAAATAAAACTCAATTTATTTTCTCTAGCTTTTCATTTGGAAAAAGCAAATATGTAATCCAGTAGAACTTTGATGTCTATTCTACTAGAACTAGTATTTCATTAGCACTTGCCATCTGTTGATGTTGTCTATTCATTTTCATACTGATCCAGTGAAGTAGATAGTAAACACATTTTACAGATGAAGAAACGCATTCTAATGAGTTCTGTAATTTGCCTGAGGTTACCAGTTAGTGAGTGGCAGAACCAAGGACTCTTAAATCAAGACTGTCATTAAAGCCTGTGATCCTAACTATTATTCTCCCCTTGATGCTAATCATTGTAAGTTAATTATACAAACTCTATATTTTAAAATGTCTTTAGCATGGTTTTCTGTGTAAATAATGATTGTATAGCCTTTCATAATTTTAATTTCCTTTGGACATGTTATGTAAACATTTCTACAAATTAGGAAAATAAAGGATTGTCACACTTTGGTCATAATTCTTTTTTTCTAGGTCAACAACTACGATATCAGCAATGTGTCCCATAACTATGCCAGAGCTGTCCTTTCCCAGCCCTGCAACACACTGCATCTCACTGTGCTTCGGGAGAGGCGCTTTGGCAACCGTGCATACAGCCATTCTGATGGTAACTCTCCACGAGAAGAGATCTTCCACGTGGTTCTTCATAAACGGGATTCTGGTGAACAGCTTGGCATTAAATTAGTCCGAAGGACGGATGAGCCAGGTGTTTTTATTCTTGACTTGTTAGAAGGAGGGCTGGCTGCCCAGGACGGGAGGCTCAGCAGCAATGACCGAGTGCTGGCCATCAACGGGCACGACCTGAAGCATGGAACGCCGGAGCTCGCTGCCCAGATTATCCAGGTAAACGCTTCTTGGCCTTCATTCCAAAGACTTAGCCTTAATTACCATATAGCATTGTTTGTTTTCATTGGCACGTAACATCAGAATTCAGGAGACATTTTACATTTCATCAGAAGAAACAGGCATGGCTACCTAAATTCTTCAAAATCCACACTAGTATACTTTGTTGTAGATAAAGTCTTTTGTAAAACCTGTATCCCCATGAATTTTTGGGCTGGCTATTTAAAGAGCGTAGGCTCTACTGTTTCACATTTGTTTCTCTTCATCTTTGGGTTCCATCTATTAAACCAGGTGGTACTGTCTACCTTTAACAAGTGAGGCTCAGAGGAGCTGTGATTTCCAAATTTGTGACTTAACCTGGTCTCTTAACTCACCATCAGGATCCATATAAGTAGGGGGAAAATAATTTTTTATTAAGAATAATTCTTATCTCTATAGCGCTTTTTTTTAAAGGAATCAAAGTATGTAAAACACATCATAAAATTTATCCTTACAGTATCCTTGTGAAGTAAGGGTAGTCATTATTAGAGGAAAAAAACATGTTTTCATTAAGAGCATGAAGACAGATAAATTGGAAAAATCATTCAAAGAAGAGATACAAGTTTTGCAACATGCCATGGCATTTAATAATGCTGACATCTTCTACAGTGATAAGGGTGAAGCAAAAAGGTGTTTTTCTTAAAGGAAGCACAACAAAACACTATGAAGGAAACCAATCATTATTTAAGTGAACATGAGGAATTAAGGTAGGTTGATAGGCACTGAAAAATGTGTTTATTAAAACACAGAATCAAATAATGATGCAAATTTAAGACTATAGGAAAACTCAAGTCCCCCATCCCCTTTATTACACTGAGAGGAGATTAGATGTTGGTCTCATTTCATAGACTTGAGGTCTAAAGAAATTAGATGCTTTAAAATTGCCTCAGATCAAAGACAACATTCGCACCTATACCTGTGGATGTCAGCCAGCTGCACTGCTGACAACTAGTTCATCTCATAAGAGTGGGGACTGGCTGGAGGATGGGAGGGAAGAGGAGGAAGAAGAAGAAAGCTAATAGAGTTACAGGATTTGTTTCAGGAAATAAGAGTCAAGTGGGCTTTATGAAGTGAGAAATCAAGTCAATAAAATAGAAAGGAATAAACTAACTATATCTATTTCAGGTAAAGTTTAAGTACTCTAAATCCTAAATAGTTGGTCCTCACTAAATTTCTAACCAAAATGTGGAAAATATAGATACACAGGTAGAAAATATATTTAAATTTTTCCATGATAATATTTGGATTTTTATAAATAGTTACATCATATTTGTGCTTTAATTTTTCCCAGACTGTGGAAAACTGAAGTTGCTCAATTTGTTTCTTTTTGAAAAAAAGTGTCATTATTTTTGGGTTATTAAAAATAACATGTATTCTATGTCTAAAAATGAAAATAATGAAGAAAAAATATGGAAAATAAAGAAGGAAATTAAAATCACATTCAATCTAAACACCCCAAGATATCAACATTAATGTTTTAGAGAATAGCATTCCAAGCATTTTTTATGTATGTGTTCACAGATGGATAATTACATATTAATACAAATGCTTATACATCCATTCATCTTGTAAATTCTGAGTTTGTAGCTTTTTCTTTACACCAGCAATATCTTGTGGACATCTTACCATGAAAATAAGCATAGACTCACATCTTAAGTTTTGCTAGCTGTTTAGTAGACATGTCCCATTACTTATTTAATCATTCCCCTATCGACAGACTTTTATGTTTTGTTTTCAAGTTTAAAACGTTGTGTTAAACTTCCCTACAAAAAGATCATACCAATTTATACTGCAATAACGGGGCATACCATTCACTTAAAAATTATGAGTGCTGTCATTTGGGCCTCCTGCATTTTTTAAACATTGATTTTAACAAAACTCTTTTGCTAAGTTTAAAACCCTGAAGTGTTACATGCACAGTCTAAAATTCGCCTAAACACAAATGTTGGTCCATCATTTGAATTCTAAATGCCCCCTTCCATCACATTGACAGAATTTTGTCTTTCAAGCAACCTTGAAAGATCAAGAATTGGGTTCTGTTAATAGGTTTGTGTAAGCAGGAGTATTCCCATAAAGTTGAAATACTAATTATGGAGTATTTGGGGTTATATAGTATTGAGCAGTAATGAAAACGATTCTGTACATTGAAATAAAATCCCAAAGGGAGCTTCTCACCACTTCACACAGTGCAATCAAATAATCTGAAATGTCAGAATTTTAAATATTGAGATTCTAAACATTCTACCTTGGTATTTACCCTTTAGATCAAGTCTCCAGACTCTGCTTTGAGAGTTCAGCTGAATGTTAGGAGTTGTTATTTCAGTTATTTTGATGAACTTGTCTGAAACTATTTAATTTAATAAAGTGCTCAAATAGCAAACGATTTTAGTAGGGCCTTGAAGTTGTTTATCACTTACTTTCCAATGTAAGAATTAAAAATAAAGTGATTTCTCAACATTTTTACTATCATGGAACAGGTCTCCACTTTCTACCACAGTTTCTTTAAAGGGGGCTATCATGTTTTCCCACAGGAATAATAGTAAAGTTGGAAATTGTGGTCATGACCTAGAATCAGCATCAAGTAAATCAGACCTGTACTTTAAAAGGAAAGATAAAATAACTTCTAAAACTATAATAGATGTGAATCTATGTTTAAAATATGATAGATAACAGGCCTCTAAGTTTAAAATGATAGTCATGAACTTCTAAAGCAATTTAACACTTGAGGATGTGTGTGTGTGTGTGTGTGTGTGTGTATGTATGTGTGTCTTTTTATGCAGGATTTCTATAGCCATTCTTTTCAGAAGTGTTTAAGCTGACATCCTATTTTTTACTGGACCTATAGCAGCAGAAACAAAGCTATGCAGTTGTTTCATTGATTATTACTTCCAAAGTAGCCACCATGGAATTTGTTTCAAAAGTCACAATGGATTTTAGTCAAGTTTTGAAGCAGTTTTTCCTTTATTTTCTTTGCTTTGCTCTCTCCCTCACAATACCAAGACCAGCCTTCAAGGGCCAAAGAAATATTAAAATAAAAGTTACCAATCATAAGGAGATGAGAGCCCAGGCAGTTTGACTGCTTTGCCTTGGTCATTTTGGAGGTGGGGTTATGGAGGGCATACCTAAGATCTGTGAGAGAGAGAGAGAGAGAGAGAGAGAGAGGGGAAAGAGAGAGGAGAGAGGAGAGAGGAGAGAGAGAGAGAGAGGAAAGAGAGAGGAGAGAGAGAGGAAAGAGAGAGAGAGAGAGAGGGGAAAGAGAGAGAGAGAGGGGAGAGAGAGAGAGGGAAAAGAGAGAGAGAGAGAGGAGAGAGAGAGAGAGGGAGAGAGGAAAGAGAGAGGGAGGAGTGTGTGTGTGTGTGTGTGTGTGTGTGTGTGTGTGTGTGTGTGTGTGTGTTTTCAGCCACAGACATTTTAAAACGTTAGCTAATGAAATGAACTCATTCCTCCCCGCCGCCAGGTGCTTGCAGTCACTGCCCAGATGAGGCCCTGGTACAATGATTGAGAAGTGCATTGAAGGTTACACTGCCTGTAATCTTTAAAATGACAAACATCATTAATGACTGGTGGTGATGTATGTGTGTTTACTCCAGGCCAGTGGAGAAAGGGTAAATTTAACAATTGCCAGACCAGGGAAACCCCAGCCTGGTAACACCATCCGAGAAGGGGGAACTCACAGCAGCAGCCAGCACCACGCACAGCCGCTGTACCACAGCAGACCAAGCTCACACAAGGTGAGGACCTTTTTCTATTTCATACTGATGCCACTCTCAAAGGATCATTGTTACAAGCTGATAAGATATAAATGAAGGTGCTTTTTTTTTTTTTTTTTTGGACAGTCTCACTGTGTCACCCCAGGTAGAGTGCTGTGGCGTCATCATAGCTCACTGCAACCTCCAACTCCTGGGCTCAAGCAATCCTCCTGCCTCAGCCTCCTGAGTAGCTGGGACTACAGGAGCATGCCACCATGACAGCTGGCTAATTTTTCTATTTTTAGTAGAGACAGGGTCTCACTCTTGCTCAGGCTGGTCTCAAACTCCTGAGCTCAAATAGTCCTCCTGCCTCAGCCTCCCAGAGTGCTAGGATTATGGGCATGAGCCACCTAACCTACCCAGCCTAAATGAAGGCTTTTTTATATATATATATCTCTCAGTAAAACAGTTTATAAAAAAAAGATTTAAATGAAGGCTATTTTGTTCAAAAAGGTGAATGTAATTGCTTGGCATGTGAAATGTATATGTTTTGCTATCTTGGAGAGTGACTGTATGTCTCAGTTCCTCAGCCATTAGAGAGAGTTTCTTGGCAGGGAAGGTTCTTCTGCCAGATGATTAACGAGAAGTGTGTGATCTTCCAGAAAAATCCCCTATTTGATTAATCCTACTTGAAAGTGGAATTTTTCTTGGGTTGCTTATTTAAATGTTAAGAGTTGGTTATATAATTGAAAAAGCATTATGAAAATCGACAAGTCTACACTTAGAAATTGGACACATGGCCTACAAAAACACAATTAGATATGTGAATATTAAACATATGAATCATGAATTTTGGTAGGTACAAGTATAGCTTATTTCTTTTTATGTTATATCTTAGAGGAATATTACCCTAAATCATTTTAAATTAAAATAATTAAATCGTTTTAAATTATCATATGTTGAGCTTTGGTACTGTTTCTTTAGAATCAGTATTTTACTGGTTTTATAATATATCCCAAGTTCGTTTATCTGTGCTGAGAATGTTGATGCTGTCTCACTTTTATTCCAAAAATCAAAAAAGATGGTACTTGAGCATTCTTCATAGTATTTACTTAATTTGATCCTTCATTTGAACTCAACTTCCAGCAGACCAAGAATTTTAAAATGATGAAGGGATGTTTACCCAATTATGTGAAAATATAAGCTACGTGTAAGCTTTCAAAGTAACTCTCCTTACATAAAAATTAAATTGCTTTACTAAAGAAAAACTTATTTATTGGTCTGCTGAAAAGTCATAGGACTTTTCCTATGTGCTAAAGTAACCTTTTAATGTAAGTACAACATTTGAGAAAGTGATTACCTTTGGCCTCTATCCTTGGTACCCTAAAAGAGCATAGCTTAAAGACATAGTATTTTTGGCCCATCAGACCATCAGGTATATCTATCTGGTTTTCTGAGTTTAAAATACTGTACAGACTTGTCACTGGTCTTTGGTTTAGTTAATACTTAAATTATAATCACAGACTTTGTTCTCATTTCTGGACAAAAACCAAAATGTATGAAGGAAACCTATAATTTGGCCTTTATAATGATAACTATGAAAAAGGAGTAATTGTTTTGAATAGGAATTTTGAATAGGAGTTGTTTAATATAGAGCTAATCCTTACTTTACAAGATATATATACACACACATATATACAAAGAATTATAAGGCAAAGGTTAATCCTTGAATTTTTCATGTTATTGAATTTTACAATAATTTGAGATATGGGTGTCTATAACAACATTTACAGTTTTAAGGGTGTTTAAAAAACTGTACTTAATCATTCCAGTATTTATATGGAGAACTCTGCTTATTTATTGATTTGTTTTGGGCACCTGTATTTTTCTGTCAAAAGTCTGCTAACTCTTACTCTCTTTAATTTTATGTGATAGTATTTTAAATAGCAATGCTAAATTTATTCCTATTCCAGGTACTCTACAAACTTGGCTGGTTAGAACAACCACATGGAATGTAATGTTTTAATTTGGCTATTTACTACTAACATGTTTCATTTGTTATGTCAAATCTTGATTTAGAAAAATAAAGTTCTCCTCAGGAAGTCAAAAACACATGAATTCACCAAAACAGCCTGTTCAGATGATTAATGATTGTGAAAAATTAAAGTATACATTCTACCAAGCTTCTTTGTAGCTGCTTGGATAAACATTGCTGTGATATTAGAAAGTTCATTAAAGCATACTGAGTATAATCGTTAAAGTTTGGTTTGGTTCCTGAGGACAAGTTGCATACATTTTAGCCATCTAGAGTAATAAAATAACCATTCTTAATTGATTAAATACCTAAGGGCTGAAACTGCTTAAGTAAATATACTCAAGGCTGCATTTACCTGAGCTGTCTTCATAATAAAGTCATTTTTGCCCAGTTTTGAAGGATACTAACATAAATTTCATACCTTTATATAGGAGACTGCCTTAAGATGTTTACAGGTTTTCTACTCAGTCATACCATTTTCTAGGAATGCTATGCTGCTATTACTAACAGTTCCTTTGACAAAATTTCAAGAGTACATGGATTCCAGGTCTAGAGAGTGGTAGGTAGGCCTAGAATTCTGGGAACTGATTTAGAGATTTGGCAAATACCATCATAAACAGTTAAGTACATGTCAATTCTTTAAAATAATGTCATTTAAGGAAATGTTATAATTCTATAAATATAATTCACATATTTATTTTTGATGATAACGTTAATTATCTTATTATGTACATCTTTCCCTTAACAACTGATAAGTGTTAACCTTTTGAGACATTAACTTCCACTGTTACACTTAATGGGATGGTTCCTGTGTGGGTGCATATATACAATATGTACACATAGTGCATCACACTGTATGTACAGATATGCATAGTACCGTATTACCATATAACATACATACTCTTAACACACATAAGTTCAAATCCCAGTACAATACCTATCGTTACACGATTTGGGGCAAGTTACACGACCTCCCTAAGCTTGTTTTCTCCTCTGAAAATGAGGTCAGTAATATTAATAGCATTTACTTTTAGGATTTTCGTGAAGATTAAATGAAGTAATGCATGTGAAGCCATTAGCTTTGCACACACTAAGCTCTAATAAGTGTTAATTATTACTATTATTGTGTATGTATACCTTGTTTTTTACTGAGTTCCAATTCAAAAAAGTAATGTTTTAAATGCTTTGTCTTACTTTCAAGAGTGTCTCAATAATAAATAGCAGTAACAAATGTCAGTAAAAATAGCTTTTTCCTGAGAATAATAGTTTATTAGAATTAACTTCCCTGTCATTAACTTTTTTATAAATTCAGTTATTTCATGTCCTTCTAGGTTTTCCTGAAGGTTTTGCAGGTAGGTTTGTACGTATTTCATCAATGCACTTATAATCCTAGTCAATAGGAATCAGAAAATAGGTCTATAGCTTTTTTCTGGCCACGCTTTATTTTTATACTACTCTGTCGACTTTTCTTTGAAAGAATTGGGGAGAAAGATGGAAGTAAAATTAATTGACTTTTCTTTAGAATCTTAAAACTGAAAAGCATTATTTACTTTTATATAATTAGTCCTATCTTAGAGCTCAAGATAATTGTATAAATTATGTGCCTATGTTAACCTTAGCTGCTGTATGTCAGCAGTCCTGAGTTTTTTTCAGTTACATAGTCATATGAAAATAATGTCCAGAATTTGACATTGATCAAATAATATACTTATTAAGAACTGTGTATTACTTTCAGTTGTTAGTGAGAGATTAAAAAATCACTTTGTAAGTGCCACATGAGTTATTACCTTAGTTTAAGCTGTCTTTACTTCAGCTATCTGTCATTCGTTATCTAATGATTTTTTCCTTTTATGTTTTAGGATCTTACTCAATGTGTTACATGCCAAGAAAAACACATTACTGTAAAGAAAGAACCACATGAGTCCCTTGGAATGACTGTTGCCGGTGGGAGAGGAAGTAAGAGTGGCGAACTGCCCATCTTTGTGACCAGCGTGCCGCCGCATGGCTGCCTCGCCCGGGACGGCAGAATCAAGAGAGGTAAGATGGGATCGTGAACAATTTCACCACATCTTGTTTCTGAATTAAACTCACATTTTTAAAAATAAAGAGTATCTACGAAGTATTTATTAAACATGAGTTTTTTTAGTCCTTTAAACTGTCCCCTGCGTATGAAAGCATAAAGTCTTTCTATAATGTTAGAAAAATGCCCAATATAAAGGAAAACTTTTGAACCTTGATAATGTCTCCAGAATTTGCTAACAGTTACTCAGACTGTTAGATTATTTTATCTTGGGAAAGATCCTCTAAAAGATTTATGCTTCTAGTATTATGGTAGACTTAGATACTCTGAAGGACCATCTTACTAAAATATAAATGTTGCTTGTAGTAAAGTGTCTGTGTAGAAAGGGGCTCAGAGAGGAAGGTGGAGCAGAGGACAAACTCAATTATGGGGATAAACTCATTCACCATTTCACATTCCCTATCAATGCTATATGATGTGCATAGGTTAGGGTACAATTAGCTACTGTTACCATGGTAACAATAACAATCTCTCTTGACTTTGTTCATAAGGAAAGAAAAGTGAGTCTTAAAAGTTATTTTTCCAAGAATGAAGTTGAACCCCTACCTCATACCATATATACAAATTAAGTCATAATGGATTCAAGATCTGAATGTAAGAGCTAAAACTCTTAGAAGAAAACACAGGCATAAATCCTCATAACCTTGGATTAGGCAATGGTTTCTTGGATATGACACTAAAAATACAAGCAAAAAAAGAAAAAAATACATAAACTGGACTTAAAACTTGCAAGTTTTTGTGCTGCAAAGGACACCACCAAGAAAGTAAAAAGGTAACTTACGGAATGGGAGAAAATATCTGCAAATTATATATATGACAAATGATTTGTATCTAGAATATATAAAGAATTCTTACAACTCAATAATAAAAAAGACAGATAATCCAACTTAAAGATGGGGAAATAATCTGAATAGACATTTCTCCAAAGAAGATAAGCAAATGGCCAGAGCCCCTGCCCAGCACCTGTGCACTGGTGACCGTTGCAGGTCATTGGCTCTGAGGCTCTGGTGCAGCCTGAGCAGTTGGTCCTATGCCAAGATGCTTCAGAGCATTATTAAAAATATCTGGATCCCCATGAAGCCCTACTATACCCAAGTTTGCCAGATTTGGATCGGAATGGGGTTGATGAGCATCATCATTTATAACACCAGGAGTGCTGATGAAAGAAGTAAAGCTTTGAAAGCTCCTACGCCTACTCATGGTCATCACCAACCAGCTCCATTTGGAGTACACATGAGATGAAATGTCAGTCTGCCTGTAAGTGTAAGCAAGCTGTGTTAAGTAGGAGCGTGGAGCATGGGACATCACCGCGTACTTGTATAAGTATGGTTTACTTTGTGGCATGAATAAATGTATCTGTGAGATGCACCACCTACCCGAGACAGCTTTCACTATGTCCCCCTCTCAGCTCCCTCCTTCGTGCTGGGTGTACTCTGAGTAGATAATCTGTAATACAGCAGATGCAATCAGAATCTCACTGAGCCATCTATCTTTATGAAACCTGAGGAACTGAAGAGTATCTCTGTAGTCATAGCAGTTGCTGATCAGAATCTAGAGACACTCACTCAGATTCTACTGCTCAAGAGATGTTTGTTAAACATGAAAAAAAAAAATGGCCAGTAACCACATGAAAAGATGTTTAATGTCATTGCTTATTAGGGAAGTGCAAATCAAAACCACAGTGAGATACTACTTCATACCCATCAGGATGACTATAATAAAATAGACAATAACAAACATTTGTAAGTATGTGGAGAAATCAAAACCCTCATACATTGCTAGTAGACATATAAAATGGTAAAACTATTTTAGAAAACAGTTTGGCAGTTTCTCAAAGAGTTAAACTAAGTTATCATATGACCCAGCAGTTCTGCTGCTAGAGAAATGAAAATACCTGCCCACACAAAAACTTGAGTGCCAATGCTCAGAGCAGTATTATTCACAAAAGCCAGAAAATGGAAACAACGCAAATGTCCATCACCTAATGAATGGATGAACAGAATGTGGTCCGCCATACAATGAAATGTTATTTGGCTGTAAAAAGGAATGTAGTGCTGACACAAGCTACAATATGGATGAACCTTGAAAACATTATGCCAAGTGAAAGAAGCCAGACACAAAAACAATGTCTGATTCCATTTATATGAAATGTCTAGAAAGGCAGATCTATACAGACAGAAAGTGGATTAGTGGCTGCTTAGGGGTGGGGGAAGGGTAGTGACTGCTAATGGGTATAGGGCTCTGGGGCCGGGATGTGATAGAAATGTTCTAAAAGTTATTGTGGTGATGTTTATGCAACTCTGCGAATATACTAAAAACTATAAAATTGTATGCTTTAAATGGGTGAATTAAATGGCATGTGAATTATATCTCAGTAAAGCTGCTATTAAGAAAAAGTTATTTGTCCAATTGTTATATTTGGGGTAATTTTATCTCCTTGTTATTTTATTATGTTTTCTAAGTTTTCTACAATGAGACTGTTCTGTTTTAATAATCTGAAAAGTGGGTGATAAATTGGGAGGGGGGATTTTCTGTAGTTTGTCACACAAATGTCTGCTTCCTACAAAACTGATAATTTCCTTCCTAACCTTTCATATAATCCTCATTGCCCTTCTTTGTTATATCACTTGGCAGAGCAGCCCCCCTTTTTCTTCAAGCAAGGGAAGATGCCCAAATCACAAGTTTCATTTCTTTGTGTGGGCACAAGGTGTCCTCTCTGTGCATATTCTGATATGTTTGCCCTGAGTGAACTACGCGGGGCTGTCTTTGTGTATAGAACTGTGTCAATATAAAATAGAATATATTAAAAATTCATTTCTAAGAGCAAGGGAGCAAATAATTTTTGAATTGGAAAGAACTGTAGAAATCTCTGAAGCTCAAAGAAGAGAAATGAACCTGCCCAGCGCCTGTACACAGCTAAACTGGGACTCGTGATTTGCACTTCCAGTTGTATCAAGGTGCCTCAAGCCACACTTTTTCTTATGTATTATGACATTATTTAAACTTTTTGAATTATTTTGTAATGTTTTCTAACTACTGGATTTTTCCTCAGTGTTATAAAAATTACAAAGAAGTAAAAAATGCTCTTTCACCTTATCCGAGTTATTGAAACGAGCCTCTGTTGATTAGTTTACGAACAGCAGGATTTGCAGGGAAATGATCACTTGGCAGCTCAGCTCATTTCTCTTGTCCCTTCGTTTGAGCAGGTGATGTGTTGCTGAATATCAATGGCATCGATCTGACCAATTTAAGCCACAGCGAGGCTGTGGCCGTGCTGAAAGCCAGCGCCGCCTCCCCTGCTGTTGCCCTGAAAGCACTCGAGGTCCAGATTGTGGAGGAGGTGACTCAGACCCCGGAAGAGCAGCCAAGTACCTTCAGCGAAAACGAGTATGATGCTAGCTGGTCCCCATCGTGGGTCATGTGGCTTGGGCTCCCAAGGTACTGATAGCTTTTTTGTTCTTTTATGTAATAATCACATTGTGCAGCCTTTATCAGTGTGTAACACAGTAAATTTGCCCATTAGGAGAAGGCTTTAATGAAATAAAAGCAACATCAAATCAAATGACAAAGTGATAATTTTTTTAGAATATTACATTTTAAAAGCTAGATTTAATTTTAAAAACTAAGCTATCAAGACTTATATCTGTTTATACTGCGGTCCCTAGCTCCCTGGGCCATGGACTGGTACTGGGCAGCACAGCAGGAGGTGAGCAGCGAGCAAGAGCAAGCGGGCAAAGCTTCATCAGTATTTACAGCCACTTCCCACAGCTTACGTCGCTGCCTGAGCTCCGCCTCCTGTCAGATCAGCAAAGCTTCATCTGTGTTTACAGCTGCTCCCCATGGTTCCCATCACGGCATAAGCTCCGCCTCCTGTCAGATCAGCAGTGGCATCAGATTCTCATAGGCGCACAAACCCTGCTGTAAACTGCGCATGCAAGGGATGTAGGTTGTGGCTCCTTATGAGAATCTAATGCCTGATGATCTGAGGTGGAGCTGAGGCAGTGATGCTAGCACTGGGGGGCAGCTGCAAATACAGATTATCATCAGCAGAGAGGTTTGACTGCACAGAGACCAGAATAAATCAGTTGCTTATAGACTAATACCAAAACCGTATTGTGAGTGGCAAGTGACAAGCTGTATCTGGTGGCAGGCTTTATAGTGGCAAGTAAGCATCTTACCCCCACCTGCCGCCATCCCTGGAAAAATTGTCTTCCTTGAAACCAGTCGCTGGTGCCAAAAAGGTTTGGGGCAGCTGCTGTGTTTACAAAAACAAAGAAAGCAAATCCATTCATCCTATTAAGGATTGATCATGTAAGTGGCCTAACCATGAGATTGGATATTCCAGTCTCTTAATTCAGAACAACTGTCATTTACCAACACTGATTCTGATAGATGCTTAGACTTCACATGCATTTTTCACAGAAAAACCAAGCTAATCCTGGGGCCTTGCCCCATCCCAGAAGCCTCTCTAAAAGCCTTTCTTATCTTTTTAACTTTCCCTAAAAAGGTAGAATTTTAAACTCAAGAGTTGTACACAAGAGTCTTTAAGCCAAACCATTGATGTTCAAGAGTAGCTGCTCTACCATTAGAAAGAGTTTGTTGCTTCCTGACTGTGTGACCAGCCAAGACATTCTGTGGTGGGTCGGTGTCAGGGTCACAGACGCACGTGGAACCTCTAGTGGCATCCCAGGGTACATTTCTTCCTCTAGTCAGGCAGTTGTTGTGCTGTTTGGTATTGAGATGGGAAAAATGTATGTTACCGTCATTATTTGTTCCCACATCAGTTTAGATTCTTACTATATAAAGAATCCTAAAATTGAACTATGATGAAACATTTTGACTCTTAACCAAGGATGAAAATTACTGATTCTTTAAAGTAAAAATAAACAATATGAATGTGCCAACTTCTGAGCCATCTGACTCATGTGGAATAAATTTATAATAACAACCAGCATTATGTAAAGTGATTTATGGTTTATAAAGTACTTTCATATGAGCAATAACAGAAAAAAAGCAAGGATATTATTGGATTTCATTTGTTAATAACCTCACTTGCTGACTGGTTCTCTTGGTTAAAAAAGAAATTAAAAGGCCTAAAACTATAATAGAATTCATGTCTCACAGACCTATAGGTGCTTTGTGGAGAGACAGATTTTTTTAAGATAAAGGTGATTTAGCTGTTTGAAATATATTTATTTCATACACCAAGACAGATTAATTTTTCCCATTGAAAAGTAAACATAGATTTTAATGGTTGCTGTTAAACTCCTACAGAACTGCTACCTAAATTGTGAGATTTCAGCCATCAGAGGGAACCTCATTTATCTTGCTCAGTGTTCAGCCTGTTACTTGGACCTGTGAGTTTAAACCTAGAATGGCAGAAAGGCCCTTTGCACGTAGTGGGTGAGAAGTGGTCTCCTCGTGCAGTGGCCAGGCAGCGGGCACAGACTGCAGGGCCTGCCCACCTCTGCTGCTGAGGCAAGCAGAGAGCAATGGTGTCCTGCCGAAACGCTCGTGCCCTAGTGCTTCCTTTAATTTTCTTTATCCATTAGGCCCATCTACTTTTGGGGTTGGCACACATTCACCTCTGTGTTCAGAGCATTTTCTAGTGTGCCAGGCAAAATAAGAAAGGTTTTAGATGAGAAATATATAGTATAGTAAAATCTATTTTTGAGGCCACCTGTGTTGTAAAAATACCTTTCAGTAAAAGGTTACTATTCTGTGGATTTATGGCAGTCTCTGTTGAATACAGACTTATACTCGGCAGCCATGTGTCCTCATCTATGGGTACAGGTGGCCCCTAAAAGCAGGTTTCACCCCGCAAAGGATAGCAGCTCTGCTTTTCCTGAAAAGGGAGATTCTTCTACTGCAGTTCGCTGGGGGTGCACCAGAGAACTGCTTGTTTGGTTGTTTGTTTCAGATGATGCAGAATTATGAAAATAACCTACACTGTCGCTAAAAATTCAGGCCAATACATGGGACCTTGCCCCATCCCAGAAATCTTTCTAAAAGCCCTTTCTTATCAGTGAGCTAAGAAACTAGATGAGATTAGAAGTTCTGGCATACCGTATATTGCTTTACAGAATTGGCTTTATCTTTTTTATGGATTAAAAACGGGAAACCTTGATGCCTGTAGATCCAGTTTTACCTAAAAATGAAAGCTATTTCTTTATTAAAAGACATATTTTTTCTATATATCATTTAGGGGTCTTTTTGTTTTATTTTTTTAAGTTTTTACTCACTGCTTGTTCCCAAATCCATAGAGCTATGGAAATGTAAGTAGCTTTTTTTTCTCCCTCCCTGGACAACATCTTCCAAACTGGCTAAGTAGCATTTTACTGTAGCTTCACAATGCCCATGATATAGAAAGGAAAAGAAAAAAATATTTTTCGTTAGTGTTTTCCAGATTGATTTTTCTATTTTGGCAATCAGAGTCTCTGTTCAAATGAAAGCATTCTAAGTGAAGGAGGAAGAACAACAAGTAACTGCTCATGTAGGTTAAAAGTAGGACCCCTGGGGTATGCCTTCAGGAAAGGGGGTGATTATCTGCTTTCTTTTTGGAAGCTACACTCCTGGTCATTTTCTTCTGTCATTTGAGTCCTGAGTTCAGCAGTACTAGACCTCTTGCATTCTACTTTGTAATTACTCTTGTAGATACAGATGATTATTAGAATTGAGGTCTTTGTTGGTAATGCATTGAGCAAATATAGGTACATAACCTTTTCGTACAGATTTCTGAGGTGTGATTTGTAACCAAGTTTGTGTAAGCTCTGTACATATGTGTGTGTATATATGTCTTCACTTGGAAACAGAAGACTGAAAAAAAGTTGGAGAAATTCAAGTCTACTCAAGTCTACCTAGGACCACATCTGTGCTAGAAAAATGGGTTGTCAAAATAATCTGTTCAGAAGGAAATAAAGTAGCCCTTTTTCTTTTTCTTCTGAGAGTGATAAAAGTATAACATGGTATGGGGTTATAGCAAAGTTGAGCAGGCTATGAAAGCCTACACGTTAACTTGATTCTTTATTTTTTTGTTTGTTTATAGTGCCCTTCATAGCTGCCATGATATAGTTTTACGAAGAAGCTACTTGGGAAGTTGGGGCTTTAGTATTGTTGGTGGATATGAAGAGAACCACACCAATCAGCCTTTCTTCATTAAAACTATTGTCTTAGGAACTCCTGCTTATTATGATGGAAGATTAAAGTGAGTCTTGTTCTAATTAATGATGTGATTTATGTTTATTATGCTAGACATGATTTAGATCAGAGGTCAACACCAAATCCAGCCCTCTGTTTTTGTAAATAAAGTTTTATTCCAACACAGCCAAGCTCATTTGTTTATGTACCACCTGTGGCTGCTTCCGCTCTACAGTGGCAGAGTTGAGTCATCATGACAGAGACTGTATGGTTCTTAAAGTGTAAAGTATTTACCATCCATCTGACCCTTTACAGAAAAAGTTTGCTGACCTCTAATCTAGACTAAAGCATTACATTTACTATCTTGTCACTTACAGCTATATTTTATTAATCTAATGACAGGCACTGAATCTGAGTCATGTGATTCGGCACATTGTGATGTGACAATGAGCTCTGAGCAAGTTTCCCACACAACTTATGCAGGTCCAGTCCTGTCATTAGATGATTCTGCTTAATTTTTCTGCACAGCACTCATCTCTCCCTGACATTGTATGTATGCAGGCTCCATGAGGTGGGGATCTTGTTGCATTTATTGTTATACCCCTCACAGTCATAACAGCACCTCACATGTAGTAAGATCTCAATAAATATTTGATAAATGAATGTGTGATAGCTTACACTGTGCCAGGTGCAGTGCTAAGTGCTGTGCATGCATTATTTAATCTTCTTAACAACCTTATGAGGTAAGAGTCATTATTATTCCTGTTTTACAAACAAGATAGCTGAGGCTTGGGAAAGTGAAGAAACTTGCCCAAGATGAAATAGCTGATAGTGGTTGACTGGTATTTAAACCCAGCACTGCCTGGCTCCAGAGCCCTGGCCTTTTAACCCCTTGCAGACTGCCACCACTGGGCAGAAGTACTCGCTCAACCAGTGTGCAGCCTCTTTTCTTTTTCAAAGCTTAGGCACTGAGAGAAGAAAGAAAAGGTGTCATGTCAAGAGATTATCATCAACAAAGAAGACGGTTGATTCCAAGTTCTTAGTGCTTAGTTTATGATGAAAGAACCAGTTCTTAAAAAGTAAATGTTGACATACTAGACAGAATGCTGCACAAATGGAGAATTTGCACTGTTTGCAAAGAGAAAATGACATCTAAATAATATTGTGAAAAGGTGATCAGGATTAGTATGCTCCAGGTCAGTCTATATTGATGAAGATGAAAAACAATTATTTTAGGAGGAAAGAGTAGGAGAAAATGAATTAATTGTTCTCTTAGCTGAGTTACTCAATCAGTCTAGGCCTCAGTTAATTCGTTTATAATTTATATTCCACCTTCTTCCAAAAAGAAATCAAAATCATTAACAATAAAATTGCATATCATTTATGGTATAAACTGAAGACCAAAAATCATAATGATAATTATAAAGATAAAAATGGCCTCAGGTAAATCATCCATTTGTGATAATTCTGCTAAGAGGACAGTGGGTGCCTGAATAGCCGAAAGAAGAGGAAAGGTCTTATTCCCAATTTAATTCAACCCTCCGATATATGAGCTCTAAGAATGAATAGAGAAATAACAGTCAAAATAATAACCTCCTCCAAATGCATTTGGTTTTTATTTATTTATTTATTTATTTTGAGACAGAGTCTCGCTTTGTTGCCCAGGCTAGAACAAGTGCCGTGGCGTCAGCCTAGCTCACAGCAACCTCAAACTCCTGGGCTCAAGCGATCCTCCTGCCTCAGCCTCCCGAGTAGCTGGGACTACAGGCGTGTGCCACCATGCCCGGCTACTTTTTTTTTTTTTATTTCAGCATATTATGGGGGTATAGATGTTTAGGTTACGTATGTTGCCCTTACCCCCGCCCCCGGCTAATTTTTTTATATATATATTTTTTTAGTTGTCCAGCTAATTTCTTTCTATTTTTTTTTTTTTTCAGTAGAGACAAGGTCTTGCTCTTGCTCAGGCTGGTCTCGAACTCCTGAGCTCAAACTATCCGCCCGCCTCGGCCTCCCAGAGTGCTAGGATTACAGGCGTGAGCCACCGCGCCCAGCTGGTTTTTATTTTTAAGACAGAGCAGATTTACTTTCTGTATTATATTTTGCTTAAACTAATATGAAAATTATTCTGTTTGTCCTTGAAATTCAACTACCAGTTATTGGGGGGATGGACACAAGGATTTCCTTAACATGCTTAAAAACCATCCCAGATGTTTCTCAGAGTAGATCGTACACCCTAATCATTGACAGTTAATTGGCAAATGAAATTGCGATTTTCATGCTAAGCAAATCTTAGTTGGGGTAATGTTTCTAACACTATGAAAATAGTAACATTCTGTTTCTGTCCCTGTTTGTCTTTGTCCAGATGTGGAGACATGATCGTGGCTGTAAATGGCCTGTCGACTGTGGGCATGAGCCATTCTGCATTAGTTCCCATGTTGAAGGAGCAGAGGAACAAAGTCACTCTGACAGTTATTTGTTGGCCTGGCAGCCTTGTGTAGATTTTTGAAATTGGTTTTGAGTCTTGCATCTTCCTTTTTTAGGTTTTTGAAAGAAACCCCTTTTATTTCATTGTATTTCTGGTTGTTAGGAGCTACTGACACAGCTGGTATACATGGGCCAAAAACCACTAAGATTATCCATGTATGTTTATTTAAATATTTTCCTAAATTTAGATGCATTTCTTTTAGCTTGGAAACAGTCTTCCACTAACCCTTATGAGTTTATATTTTCAGAATTCAGACTCACAGTTGTCAAAATATTGCATATAGTAATGAACAAAGTCCACCCAAACTGTGACCCAGCCAGCTGGAGTAGGGAACTTCTGGTGGATCTTTGTTCCAATAACTGAATCGTAGAATGAATTTCGTATCTCCCAAGACTGGTGTCAGTGAAGCCAACAGCAGCAGCCTGTACTGCCACTGTTGTAACCAATGCCATGAGTGGATACATTTTAAATTTGGGTGATAAACGTTCCCCATTTTTCATCGGTGCCAACATTTCAAAACTTCATTCTGTTTATAAAGTGATTTTCTGGTTTATTTTATTTATACTGTAATCTCTCAGTACTAATAGAAGATGAAGAAATAAGTCTGACACCACTAAAGAGATGCTTTTTTAAATAATGTACTATTATTAGAATAGTAGAGAATAAAAGATAATATTATCTAGTGACAAAGGAATTTGGACAGTAATTATAGTTTAGTGCTAGAGATGGTAAAAGCCGCATTTACTTGAACAGTTCAAAAGCATTAAAGATCCATTTCCAAAGGAATGTTTTGCTATATAGGAAAATTTTGAAGTAATTTTTGCTAAAAATCATTTCTAGAATTTGTATTATACTTACCAGCAGTCTTGGCTGGAAATGTTTTTGTGATTTATGCAATTAAACTAGATGATAAAGATAAAACCATATTGCTATTAAATACACAAATATGTATCACAGCTAAGTAGAACAGGGGAGACCTTTTTATTTTATTCAGGTAAGAGTCTTTCTTGAGTGTTTTAGAAACCCTTATATTTCCCATTATTTCTTATAAACACAATTGTTTCAAGTTAGAGACGGAAAAGTTCTGTTTTTTATCTGAAATAATAGGTTTTAGATGTTAGTATCTTTTAATCGGCTCTTGGTCACTAGACTATTTCATATTTTTTTGAAATGTTTTTGAAAACTATGACTAGCCCATTTTGTTTGTCCTTAATTCAACATGGTTATCCTTTGGAAAACACGTAAGTGAATAAGAGAAAAATATCTTTACCTTATTAATATTATGCATACTTGAAAAAGTTTCATTTAGAAACCTAGTTCAGAATCTGAGCTAATTTACAAGTGACCTCTGTAATAAATGGTATTGATAATCAGAGAATGTATTTCAAAATACTACAGTACAGTATATTATGAAGCATGACCACTTTATTTTCAAGCTTAGCAATTGCATTGCTGGGGTTTATTGTATCTGTAGCATGTCACTGATTACTTCAGTTCATTTTATAATGAGTTTTTAAAACATATCTCTTTGGAATGAGTAAGATATGGCAACAATAATTGCTATGGACTCATTCAACCCCTTAGCTACACTGTATGTCAACATATAACCAAGATACAGTGGAATGCCCCATACAGTATATTACTGTCATGTGATGATTGGCTTTGGAAGCAGTTTGATATTGAAATGCTTTGCTATTCTAATTGACATGGAACAAGTTTTTTTCCTGCTCCCCAAATAAAATTTTGTAACCAACTTTGCTATTTTTTTAAAGTTTGTAAGAATGTGTCATTTCTTGGGGGGTAGCCATCCATCAACAAATATCCTAACTGATACTCTGTTGTATGGAAAATACTTACATTGAACCCAGTGGCATAATGAGTATTTTGAAAGAAGAAGTTTTTTTCCATATTATTTTTATCGTGAAAATCTTGGAATCAGCTTCAGCTGTAGCCTTTATGACAAAAGACTGTCATTTCTGGTCAGAATGATATTTGGTGATGGAAACTTGTTCATAATTTATTGTTACTGTAGAACTATTTGGATTTTTTCATTTTAAGCTCTGATAGATAAATATTTTGATTTGTTCTGTGCCTTCAGTTTAAATTATTTCAGGATTTTCCAGATGTGTTTAAATAATGGTGTCATAATAATTCAGGATGGAAATAAAAGTCCACCTTTCCATTATAGCGACATTGTCTCCTTCCTTGAACAGTACACGTTGACTCAGTCTGTTCCTTATTTTTGTTGGTGGCACCACTGTCCTTACAATAAGCCACGCTTAAAACCTCAGGACCAGAGGTCCACCTTCTCATTCTCGTTCCCGTAGGCAGAACACGTAAATCTCTACTTTGGGAATGTGTACCTACGGAGCTCCTCTAGGCCTGCGTTGTCTAGTACGTGTGGCAATTGAGTGCCTGGAATGTGGCTGAAATGATAATATCTTGGATACATTGGGTTATAGAAAACATTATTAAAATTCACTTCGGTTTCTTTTTGCTTTTTCTAATGTGGTTACAAGAAAATTTTAAATTGCTGCACATACAGCTCCCCTTCTGTCTCAGTTGGACGGCACTGGTCCCCTCATTCTTCATTGTCACAGCATGGGCCAAGTCAGTCAGTCCTGACCTTGTGGTTTCTGTTCTTCCTATGCTTTCATCACTCCTTGCCTTAAAAAAAAAAAAAAAAAATTAATTGAAAGAAACAAAGTTGTGTCCCAATTTTCTACTAAGTTAAGTTCAAACCGAGGCCTCTGTGATCTGACCCCAATGCAGTTTTCCAGATGGCTCCGTGGTCCCACTTACCCTCCATTACCCCAGCAGACCCCAGCTGTTTCCTGCCTGCAGCACACACTTACTGTATTTCCTTGAACCGTGAGGCTTTTCCTTCTCTGCAGGTTCACGTTGTTCCCCTGTTTGGAGGTGTGACTTGAATGCTGTCCCGTCTGTCTGCCTCCTGGCTCCACTCCCCACGTTCCCTCCTTATGAATCTCAGCAGGCTCTTATATTTGCATTTATTATGGCCCCAATCACTTGCTACCTGTTGTCATAGTTTTAAGTGCCATCTTCAACTGCCACCTTGCAACTTTGACCACCACCGTCGCCTCATGTCTGTAGCTCCCGCAGCCTGTGGCCTGAATATCCTATTGCTTTAAGGCATCTAGGTCTCAGCATATCCCAAATCTGTGTTTTCCCAAGTATCTGCCTACTTCTGGCCTCCTCATCTTTCAATCCAAACTCTTATGCCATCAGAGTTACTTTTCTAAACCCCAACTCTGATCATATCCTTGCCCTGTTTAAAAACCTTCATTGGTTCCACACTGTCTGCAGGATAAATCAAAATGGCTTCATGCAGCACAAAAGGCTCTTCATGGTCTGGCCCTGCCTCCACTAGGGCCTCGTTCCCCACCTCTCGCTTCGTGTTTAAACCACCCCATTCCCTGCCCTCTGTGTCCACAGGGCCGACTTGGCTCAAGTGACATCATCCTTTTGGGAAATATTTACCAATCTCTTTGGGCAAGCTTTTAAGGATTTTGTTACACATATGTTTTTATGGTCCTACCTGCATGCTAGGAAGAAGAAAACAAACTTGCCCGGTAGGTGCTTGATCCCAGTCTGCAGCAGTGTTTTAAGCTAGAGAATAAACGTCAGAGATCATGCACCTTCCGAACGGCTCGGAGGCATTCCGGAGGAAGAATCTAGGCCTAGTGTCCTCTGTCTTCCAGGATTCCACATCACGTTTTAGTCATCGAGTCTCCTTAGCCTCCGCTTGGCTGTGCCATTTTCCCCGACTGTCCTTGTTCCTGAGGGTCTGACAGTGTTGGTATGTCATAGGTCACCCTCTGCTGGAATTTGTCTACTGGTTTTTCTCGTGACTACACTGGCGAGTGGGTTTTTGGGAAGAAGAGCACCAGGTAGAGTGACTGCTGTTGTCTTTATGTGTCGAGCACACGCACTGTTGCCGTGATGTGTGACCGCTGACCTGGGCCTTGGTCGCCTGGCCTGCGTCGTCATGCTGCTCAGGTTTCTCCACAGGAAGTCCGCACAGCCACGCTGGAGGAGTGGGGAGTCAGGCTCCCCCTCCCTCCATTTAGTTTTGATCCGGCCAAGAAAACAACGGCCTGTGGCGCCGCTCAGGGAACACGTTGCGGTGGAAGGAAGGGAGGTGGGACTCCGTGGCTAAGAGTCCCTCCCTTGACTCTGTTGTTCATTGTAAACTTTCCCAAAGGAGTTGTCTCCCTTTTGTGGTTTTTAACTATTTTTAATTCATAACTATTTTTCTGACACAAAAATTGTAAAAAATAACACAGCACTTGTGTGCCTACCACCCAACTTAAATACAAAGCACGGCCACTGCTGTTGAGCTTCCTTCTCCATCTGCATCCACACTAGGGTGGCCTTCCCACTCATTTCTTCATAACTATGCTGCATATTTATGTACCATTCAAACACAGTATTGTGCATGCGTTGAAACCACATGAATGATGTTGTGCATATGTGGTGTTCTGCAACTACTTCTGCCCCAAGATTCTTTCCTGTGTTCATGTAGCCCGAGTTTTTATTGTTATATACTCAGTGACTATGACAATTTTACATCCATTCTTTAGCTGATGGGCATTTAGGTTATTTCCTTTTTTTTTTTTATTAACAGTGCTGCTGTGAGTACTCAAAAACAAGTCTCCTTGTGCACATGGGAGAGTTTCTGCAGGTCAGTGATTCTCATTCAATCCCGGCTGCGCGTAAGAATCTCTTGGGGAGCTCTTCAGCAATCCCAGTGCTGATTTAGTTGGTCTGGGTGGGAAGTGGGCATCAATTTTGTTTGGTTTTGCCTGTTCCTCAATGAATCTAATGTGCAGTGATAATTGGAAACCACTGCTCTAGGAGTGGCATTGCTGGGTCTCAGAGTGGGCTGCATCTTTACAAGGCGATTAATCTTAGTGTACATTTCCACTAGTAACGTGGGCAAGTTTTGTTGATCCACATTCTTGCCAGCATCTGGTGTTATCAAACTGAAGGGGGTGAAAATGGCATCTCATTGTGGTTTCAACTCACATTTCCCTGGTTACTGGTGAAGTCCAGTACCTTCTCACATGTTTACTAGTCTTTCACATATTTTCTTTTATTTATTTATTTATTTTTGAGACAGAGTCTCACTGTGTTGCTCAGGCTAGAGTGCCGTGGCATCATCCTAGCTCACA